ATATAAAAAATTTTCAATAAAAGAAGTGAGCTCCTGCAGGAAATGGATTTCCTCTAGTATGGAAACAGCTATCATGTCCAATAATATCTATATTCAACACATTTTCAAATACAATCTTAACAAATTCGATACAACAGCTCAAAAACTGACTTGGAAAAAACTCTCAAGCCACACTTCCTGATAATTTCCACATCCCCCATGTGGAAACTGACACCTGCTGAGAAGCATTTGGGGTAAACTTCAGTGGCTGTTCTGATGGTGCCAGGCTATGGGGCAGTGGCAGTACCACACCATGCTCAGCCTCTCGGGAGCTAAGATGATCAATACACACCGGGCAGGAGGATTGCCATGAGTTCAAAGCCAGCATGGGCTACATAGTGAGTATGACGTCAGCTTAACCCTGTCTCTAAAAAACAAACAAAAAAATAAAGAAAAAGAAAAAAGATATAGAAGCAATCTTAATACTCAATGGCATCCCTCCCTTCCACTCCCATCCCCCAAATTATATCTGAATCCAGGTATTACTGTTTTTGAAACATCCTACATGTCATGGTTCACTGCCAGACCTGAGAACCTGTTTCAATGCAACCCAAATGTTAGAGTGCATCTGAGCCACCTGGGAGTCCTGTCAAACTACAGATTCTGACTCATTCTGAGGCGTGACCTGAGAGTCTGCATTTCTAAAGAGATTGCAGGCAATGTGTGTTTGAGCAGCAAAGAGTAAAATCAGAGGTTCTCAAACTTGTGTGGTACTGTTTACCAGTTGCTCAGGTTTGTAACACTCCCTGCTCTAAACAGATCTGTGGTAAAAAAGGAAAGGGTTTATTCAAAGCCAGCTGGCAAGGAGATGGAGAGGACAAGTTCAGGTGTGAAAAGGCTTTTAAGGAACTGAGGGGAGAAATACATCGATGGAGACAATAGGCAAGGAAATGTCCCCGTCATTTCATCCCCACAGCTATTCTTCCTTCCCCACAAAAAGGACCAAACCCTAACCTCCTGGGGCTAGCACCTGCATATTCCTTCCAGACAGAGGTGTTACCAATCTGTCCAACCACTGAGCTGAGGCGAGGAAGGGGTGGCTAGTTTATGCCCTGGGCAGGAAGAAGTTTGGAGAAGCAGCTAATCTCTAGAAAAAAAATCTTAAATTTTAAAGATCTGTTTTATCCTTTTGGTTACAATATCGGAATCATCAGAAAATCAATTAAAGACAGAGGCCTAGTTTCAATGAAGTTCCTGAATATGGGCTGGGCTCTATTTTTTCCAATTCCTGAAACACACCTACTTTTAAGAACCACTGACTCAAATATTAAAGACAATTTTTAAAAAGGAATCCACAAGTCAGGCTGTGTGTCAGATACTAGGAAACACCATACTGTATTATGAATAATAACCAAAAGTGAAACACAGATCAGAAAAACCAACAGAGAAGCAGTGGGAATGGATGTATATGTTAACTTAGTACATAAAAGCACAAAACTTAACAACATAAAAGCATAAAACATAACAGTACATAAAAATTTTTCTACTCAAAATATGTAGAAAAGGAATTTCTTTTAAAGGAGATTAATTTTCAAGTGGAAAGAGCTTCGGCTTTCCTCTTAACACCTGGCTGACCTCCCCAACTCTGAGAGAATGGGGATATTAAGTGAGCAGAAGACAAGAAGGGGAAGGTGCTGTTTCATTACTGAGCATTTTGCAAAGAAAAGGTTCTGCGAAGGAGCCATGGAGGAGGCCAGGAAGCCGAAGACAAAAATCAAAACAAAACAAAACAAAACGGCTATGCAAGGACAATTAAGATACTCTGCAAGTAGTTTATGTTTTTTGCCTGAGGGCATCCCTGAGCTTTTCAAACAGAAAAAGGAAACTTTCAGTTTCTGCTATTCATACAAATGGCTTACCTTGCTCAAGACACAGAATCTCCCGAAATAGTGTATTAGAAGTGTAACCGAGTTACTCTATGGACTTACATCTTCTCTAGACCTATATCTTGACATTAACCACTATTTATACAAAATTTCTCTGGGACAAAAGTTCCATAATTCTTTGCAGTCATCACCTAAAGCCCTTATGAAAGAAAGTGGCAAGGATCTTACATTCAAATCCCACAATTGTAGCTTGATTTTTTAAGTTATTAAAATAAAAAGATGAAAGAAATATCACATAATAAGAGACATATAGACATGATGTTTAACAAGAAAACTCATAAGTTCTAATTTTAAAAAAGAAGAAAACAAATCAAATTAAATCATGAAAGGGGCCAAGAGAGATCCTTGCCATTCCTCTCAGGTCTCAGAGGTAGGAAAAAGGAAAAGCTAAGTGAGTCTGTTAATTTCTATTCCCTGGGTCCACTTTGCACTTCTGGGTAGGGGTAGGGAGTTTGAAAGCTGCCATCTCATTCCAGAACTCTCAATCCCAAATTGGTGAATCCCAAGTTGTCTGGCTGAGAAGCTGAAGGTGAGTAGGCCAAGGTCTAGTTTAGAGATACTGTGAAATGGGAGTGGAAGAGTATTCACATTTCAAAGGCATTGGGGGGCTAGTAAAAGCTGATAGAGAAGTCTACCACACAAAATGGCCCCAGTGGTCCTATATTCTAAAATGGCTCCCATTTCTAAAAAGGTTCCTGCCTAGGGAAATGAGCCACTTGGGGGGTGGGGGGGATAAAACCTGCCCCCTGTGGAGAAGCAAAACTTAATTTGTTGTTCCACTCTGCTACCCACAGATCCACCCCTTCCAATCCCCTTCCAATCACACAGCATAACTATCACGATACTTTCTCCACTGCACCACCCTATATAAACTTCACCCCAGTTAGTCTCACCCTCCTTTGCCATTGTTTGAGGTAGCTGGGCAGCTCTTTACCCCCATTAAAGCCTTGCCTTGGGTGCTCCTGTTTTGGCTCATTTTCACATATACCTCAACCCCAGCATTAGTATTTCCAAGTACTTCTCCTCAGCCTGCAACAGGAACACAGACTCATCTCAAAACTGCAGCTGCTGCTACCTCCCCTTTGAATAGCCCAGGAGCTTCCTAGCAGGGATGGGAAGCAGGCAACCTTCACCCCACTCCTTCATCTTCGAACAATGTTGGTAACACCTTAACTTTCTTCATACCTTATGATCATAAAACCTTGGGGAGACCAAAAATGGCTTCATTTCACAAGAATGTTGGAAACGTACCATTAACAGAATCAGGCAGGGGATAGAGAGGTCATCCTGGCCTACAAAACATGGTTACAAAGAGATGCAAACCTATCCTAGTCACCTGGATCTGTGGTATTTGGAGACAAGAGCTGAGACACCAGAACAGCAGGAAACATTCTGTGACTGGGCCAGGTGAAGACTTGCAGGCCTGGGCAAAGTGGAACAGGTGCTCCGACTTACAGTGCACCCAACACCTGGGGGAACCAAGCTCTTCTGAGCTGCTTTCCCAGTGCCTTCATCCTAAAAGATGGACCAGGCAACTTGCTTGGACCAGACCAGTTACTTTACACTATTCTTATAAAAGGTTTCAGGTATTCTGAGGTCCTGAAAGAACAGTCCTGTCACCTAAGCCTTAATGATAAATCAGCCGAGCCTTGTTTCAGCTAAACATCTCCCGAACACCAGTGTTTGAGGAGGCCCACCTCAACCACTCAGTCTACACTGGCACCTTCAGTATCAGCACTCTCTGGGTTTTATTTCCTTCAAAGCACTGGTCATTATCCACGCAGTCCTGCTAATGTATGTGCGTGGGAGTAGGGGCCCCAGTACCATTTACTCCCCTCTCCCCAGTGTTGAGAACAGGGCTGAGAAAATTATAAGCACTCATTTTCTCTTGTTAATGGAAGTGGGAACCTTGTCTGTGTGGCAACTCTGAGCACATTTGTAATGTCAGGTCAATATGCGATATATACAGTAATCCCAGGCATGTACCGTTACATGCTGGGCTCTTACTGTCTCTCAATGGTAATGAGGGGAAATTTCTTTCCGTGAATGATCTCCACAGAATAATAAAAACACGGAGAAAAGGAAAATTCTTTCACTAGTTCTCAAAATGCATAATTTTTTAAATAACAGAAGAGGTTATCTTAAAAAGAGTAACAAATGGTAGGCATCATTGGCATTTATTAACTCAACTATACGTGTGTGTGTATATGTGGTAGAGAAAGCAAGAGAAGACTTTGATGAAAGCAAAAGTATACATCTGTATTAAAGATTAACATTTTATTTTTAAATTCAGTGATTAATGACTCCCATCTGCTCTTCTCTCTGCTAAGTGAGACTCTGCTGCAGACCACATATACTTATTTTTAATTTTTCTTGACAAAGAAGCAGCAGAAAATAATAGGGATATGCTGGTTAAAGAGCAAGGAAGATTATGTCCTGAAGAAATACAGGATTTTATTTCCCCCATTTATTTACTAGCCTGATCAAAAGCTCAAACCACAAGTAGAATCTTGAGGTTACCTCAGACAGTGTGTAATGGAAGTGTTCTGCTCCACATCAACAGAAAGGTCAAGAAAATCTTCATCTTTGCTACTAACCTAAAGAAAAAAAAAAAGGAAAATATATTAAATGTATTAGGCATGAAATACATAGTAGACATAGGAGCTAAAACTTTGAATCTATTTTTTTTCCCTTTTGTGGTGCTGGGGATTGAACCCAGCGAGAGTTTCAAGATGCTAGGCAAACATTCCACCGCTGAGCTACATCCCCAGACCCACAACTTTGAATCTGATACCTCCAATGAGGTATCCCGCAGGATAACTGCAGTAAGAGTTAAGCATGGCTATATGTGCTCCATGGAACAAGTTATATGGAAAACATCCCAATTTAAAGAACATACCAGATTCTCTATTCAACCTCATCCCTGTTGTAATTTTGATTCAAAACTTACAATAATTAAAACATAAGCAGATTGCACTTCCTCTCCCATCATTTCCCCCATTGTTTCAACTCAGGAAGTTTCAGACAAACATCCAGATAGTGCAGCTTGGCAGAATGATGGGAATGAAGAGGACAAGAGACATGGAAAAGCATCTACCCAGATGGTCGCTCTTCTCAGGGTGTGTTCACTTTTTGCCAGTCCCATGATTTCATTCCCTTCTTCCCCTGCTTCCTTGTTCAAATTGTGAGTGAGGCTGGGGAGCCAGAGAATACACAAACCACACATCCAGGCATCCTTTGGCTAGAAGCGGTCATCATTTGTACAGCCCTGTGCTGTCTGTGATCAAAAGCAGCCCCGGAGCTCTTGTGGCCTGGTTGGCTCTTGGCAATTCACTGACTCTGGCTGCTTCTCAGGCTACCACAGTCCATCCCATGTCTTCTCGGAACCCACACAGTGAGGCTCATTGAGCAAGTGCTTACACTCCACTCAGTGCCGACCATGCTTGGGTTTACCGCTTGCTTTGGTCCCAAAACAACCCTTTCTTCTTTCGTCACACATCTGGCTTTATTATGAACAGCAGGTGGGACACTTCTAACAACAGTAAAAAGACTAATTTACAAAAGCAGGTATTCAGTAAAATCGCTCAGGGGTGTCCCAGAGGACTCACGTTAGATGCCAACACAGAGCAGGATGAAGAACAAAATGAAAATTACACTCTTTAAAAGTGTAACCACAACCTACAACCCAAAATTCCAGAAATTATCCAAAGAAATACTCAAAAGAGTTGTGGGCAGAACCTTTTATGCATGTGTAAGTCTGCACAAAAATGTTTACTGGGGCCAGGGATTGAGCTTAGTGGTGCTGCCACCTGCCTCACAAGCACAAGATTTTGATCCCTGATACAAAAAAAAAAAACAAAAAGTTTACTGAGACAGACTGCCCAGCTCCATATCTTCTCCCCCCCCACATTAATTTTAATTTTTGGTACCAGAGATAGAACTCAGGACCTTGCGCTTGTGAGGCAGGAGGTGGCCTATCTCTGCCCATTATAAACTAGATAACTTGGGGCCAGTTACTTAGCCTCTCTTTACTTCAGTTTCCTCATCTGTAAATTTGGAACGGCTAACAGTATCTCACATGATTGTTGTAAGGATGAAATAAAGTAATATATGTAAAGTGCTTTTAAAAGTGAGCACTGAAAAAATGAAGAAGAGATTTAAAAATTATAAATAGTTTAAGATGTTAAAAAAAGTCAGAAATGGTAAGTTGGGCATGGTGGCACATGCCTGTAATCCCAGCACTCAGGAGGCTGAGGCAGGCGGATCACTGTGAGTTCGAGAACACCCTGGGCTACATAGTGAGTTCCAGGTCAGTCTCAACTGCATAGTGAGACCCTGTCTCAAAACTAAAAAAACCAAACAAACAAACAAAAAACCAAAAAACAAGAGTCAGAAGTGGTTTATCACATGGTGATTATGATACTTAGTATAAAAGTAAACTATAATTATTTATATATATGTTAATTCCTATTTTGTATTTTAAAAGGCATGTATATATCTATACACATATTCCTCCCTTACCACTCTCTAGCATTCTGCATCCATTTTTTTATGGCATTTATTCCTTCTATGACAGAAATCATTCACAGCATTCTAAAATATCATTAGCATAAGTCCCTGACTTATAAAGGAGTTCCTTTCCAGGAGAATGTTCATAAGTTTGATTTGTTCATAAGATCAACAAAGTGAGTCTTATATATCTTTAACACAGATATACAATGTGAAGCATTAATAAACACACACACACACACACACACACACACACACAAATACTGTAAATAATGCTTCTGAACATCCTGGGCTCTGACTAAGAGCTGCACTATCACACTGTACAGTAAGCACACAGCAGCACAACTGTGATGATGTGCGGCAGACACGTGAGATACTTCTGTGATTTTTTTGCATCTATGAATGTTGTAATGAGAGGTCCATTCAGATCTGTGGAAGTTCACAACTAGAATGTTTATAAGATGGGGACTTACTGTACCACTGCTATTCTGGCTTCTCTGACATAGACCTTACTGATCCTCTCCTGAGAAGGTGACTGTGTTCCTCCCTTCTTGATTCTGAGTGCAGCCACATGACCTGCTTAGCCAGCCAGTGAGGGTTTTAGAAGACAGGTTGTAAGTGGAGCACTGAACAAGCACTGGTGAAATCATTCCCCTTTCGTCACCACCATAAGGCTGAGCCCAGATTAGCACTGTTCTCAGAAGATGGGAGGACACCCATGAAGGAGAGCTGTCCTAACCAAGGTGCCACCTGAGCCTAGTCTAGAATGAACCCCCTCAGCCAACGTGAGACACGTGGGTAAGCTAGTAAGACCTTCAAACACACAAGTGCAGCCAAGTCCAACGTATATCAGCTGACCTTTACCCAACCCATAGTTGCAGGAGTTATAATAATCAATGATAGCTTTATTTAAGCCTCAGAGTTTTCAGGTGCTTTGTAACAAAGCAAGAGAACTGATAGAGCCAGATAACATATGTATATGTACGTGTGTGTGTGTGTGTGTGTGTGTGTGTGTATATATATGTATATGTATGTATGTATTTAATTTTAAACTATATTATATATATAAAATTTTATTTATTATTGTCATTTACTGAAATGAAAGTTCAAAAGATTGGCCTCAGTAATAATTAAGATCCTAACATGCTAAGGCTGAGTGCGGTGTACTCACCTATACTGTCAGCAGGAGGGTCTGAAGCAAGAGGATCACTAAGACTTTGAGGCCAACCTGGGCTACAAAGTGAGTTCAAGGCCATCCTGAATTGCACAGAGACACTGTCTCAAAAAAAAAGATCATAACATACTAATACATACTCTTTCAGAAAACTATAAGTTCATATAACCATAAGCCAAAAGAAGACACCTGAAAAGTGTCAGAATATGAATACAAACTGGCAGGCAGACAGTATCTGTTTTGAGGAAGAAAGCTATACATAATGACAGAATGAGTTCATGATTTCACAGCCTATGGAGGAAAACGCAGTTTTTCTGGTCTGGGAGCCAAAGACTAAATCTGAGAAACTAAAGCCACTAGAAAGAAGGGAAACAGCCTGAGATGGTAGCCTCAACTCTCTGTTCACATCTGGCTGACCACTGAGCTACACATCATGCTTGGAATGTACTCCAAGCAACTCAGCTGGACACAAACAGAATGACTCAAGGTTTGAGCTGTCACTCCATAAATAGTATGCGCTTTGACTCCAAGATAACTGCCTGATAAAGCTAAAGAAACCCAATACTCACTGAAGAAGACAAACAAAATCCAGAATTTCTGCAGTTTCTCAACATCCTAGACAAGAGCCAAACTTACAATATGTAAAGAATCAAGAAAATGGAAGACTTTCTTAAAATAAAAGAAAATCAAGACCCATCCTGAAATGCTGGAATTGTTGGAATTGGCAGATCAGGGTTTTAAAACTCACATCCAAATATTTCAATAATTATAGCAAACATTAACTGCCTAATAATAAAATAAAAGCCTTTTCTTCAAATTTTTTATTTTTTCCATAATGTTCTGGGCATCAAACCCAAGGCTTCATATACACTAGGCAAGTGCTCTGCCACTAAGCTACAATAAAAAATGGATTGCTTTTTAAAAAGCAAGACCAACTATATGCTGTATACAAGAGCTAAACTTTAAATATAAAAAGAGACTGAAAGTCAATGGCTGAAAAAAGACACACTGTGCAAAGAACTAGCTTTAGTATGTAGAGGGATATGCTATTATCAGATAAAATAGATTTTTTAAGATAAAGTTATTATGAGAGACAAAATATATTTCCTATTGATAAAAGGGTTAATTTGTCAGAAAAACATAGCAATCAAACATGGAGGCCTTCATAACAGATCCTCAAACATACATGAAGCTAGAATAATTTTTTGTTTTGTTTTGTTTTTTGAGACAGGGTCTCACTATGTAGTTCTGGCTGGATTTGAACTCACTATATAGCCTAGGCTGACCTCAAACTCACAGGGATCCTCCTGCCTCAACCCGCCGAGTACTAGCATTACAGGCATGCACCACCATTCTTGGCTAGAACAATATTCACGAATAAAAAGGAATGAACTGCAGAGACATGCTATGTCACAGTGGGCTTCCAAACATTATATAAGTGAATGAAGTCAGACACAAAAGCCCACATTCTATGATTCCATTCATATGAAACATCCTGCTGCTGGCAAGAGGGGTTAGCTGTCAGATACAAGGGATCTTATTGGTGTGACAGAAATGTTCCCAAACTGGATTATGGTGATAGTCACACAATATAGTAAATTTCTTTTTTCTTTTGGTACCAGGCATTGAACTTGGTTCCTTGCAAGTGCCACTGAACCGATGAGTTAAATCCCTGGCCCCAATAGTAAATTTCTTAAAGATCAATGAATAGATGACTTTTAAGGTTATGAAAATTGTACCTCAACAAAGTGATTTTTAAAAAATTTATGATGCAAGAATTGACAGGAGAAATAAGTCACCTCTGAACAGTTGATAAAAAACTAGGGAGGGAAAAAGCGAAAGACCACAAAAATCTGAATAACTTTATCAAGTAACATACTTAATTGACAAAGACTATTACAGCCAGCAACCAGA